TCTGAAATACTGAGTACCCAACCGATATCTTACTTCTTTATATCCTAACAGTCCATAAGATTGAGGGGCTTACTGAAAATACATAGCATTAAATACTCAAATACAAATTAAAATGGACATAGCACCAGGAAAAGTACAACTGAAAGTGTGTGTAGAAGAGAGGTTAGCAGGCCGACAATCTTCACGGCCGCAAGAGCTCACGGACCGATTTGACTCTGCATCTCCCGGTGGCCTTCCCAACAGGCCCAAAGGACATGCATGCTGAGCATGTTTCACTCCACATGGGGATCTTCCTTCTGACATGTCCTGGCCTGTACCTGGCCCTTGTCTCTTCCCACCCCCTTCCCTGCCCTCCCTGAGTCTTCCACAGGGAGCCAGATCCCGGCTGCTCCACATGGTCCAAGTGGCCAAGTAGTACTCCTGAGGCCTCTTTATCTCCTGGTGCCTTTTAACTCTTAACTCTCAAGTGAGAAATAAAAGAATTCATCATGAAATGGCTGAGGTTAAAGGAAGACCACCTAGAGGTCTGATGCCTAAATTGCTAAAATAGCCCTGGCCGGCTTTCTCAGTGGTTAGAGCATCGGCCAGTGGGCTAAAGGGTCTTGGGTTTGATTCCAGCCATGGGCTCAATCCCTGGCCTCCATGATTGGAGGCAACCAATCAATATGTCTCATGTCGATGTTTCTCTCTCTCTCTCTCTCCCCTTCCACTCTCTGAAAAGCAATGGAAAAATATCAAGTGAAGATTTAAAAAAATGAAAAAAATTGCTAAAATAGGCACATGCAAAAATATAATATCAGCCACTAGGCATGACTTTGGGGAGCTCTCCAGCCAAACTATGATGTTAAAAAATCTCCTGTCCCTACTTTTCTATTGGAACTTTTTTGAACACTGCCCACCACTACCCCTACCAATTAGTGCAGTCCTCTGTGGAACACGTCACCCCAAATGGCTTTCTTCATACTTAGAGGATGAGGCACCCCAACTGCAGCTAAATTATTTTTGAAACTTACATTTGAAAGGACAAGGCTTTTAGGTATAGTTTACCCAGCTGGGAAGAAAGAGATGGAGCTCATGATTAAGAAAATAAAGTTTTAATAAAGGATCCCAGAGGATTTGCTGAAAATTCATGTCAAAGACTAGAAGGCCCCTCCTTTGCCTGCTGAGGATAAACAGAGAACCAGGAAATAAAATCCACACCTTGAGCACTTAACTTTATATAACTTTGTTCATATCCAGAATGAGGGGCCGCTGGAGGCGTGGATGGGATTTTCAAAGGTTCTATGACATGCTTGTTGAAGTTAAATTCTATTTCCAGTTGTGATGGCCATTAGTCAATTTCTAACACTCTTATTAAGTTATCTCAATGACAGACTCCTGTGAAGTCAAAATGTCATATTCTGCCCTTTACACATCCAAGGAGAGGACCTTGCCTGTCCTACCTCCCCACCCCCAGGCAGCGTTAGCTGCCCCTTCCCCTGCATCCCACACTTTCTAATGTCCCTGTTCACAGCACTTGTGTCTGCCTTTGATGCCCCATTTACTCAGAGGCCACAGCTAAGTCATCTTTGTGTGTCCAGACTAGCATAGCGCCTGGGAGACGAAGGCATAGGATGTATATCTTCCAAACTAACACAGAACTGCTGCCTTAAAATGTAAGTAAATAGAGGGTTATATTCCTTGATATGGAGACTTGGGAAGCAGATAAACCCATCAAAGAAAACGTCATTCAACGAGCAGAGAATGTTGAAAAACATAGGTATTCTCATGTGATCACATGCTGCAAAACCTGGGGCCGAGCCCAAAATACAGACTTTTGCCTAAAAATAACAGCATCAGTTAGTTGGTTGTATATTGAAAATTACATTTTTTTAAATGGTAGTATAAACTATTAGACTATAAAAGACTCCACCTCCAAAGAAGCATTGCCATGCCAGTGGGATCAATGTATCAGGTGAGTCCATGAAGATCTATAGCCCTGGGGCTGGGAAGGTCCATTGCACCAGCTGAGTCTCATTAGCTTGGGGAAAGGAAATTCCTCCCTTCATTGTACCTGCTAAAGTGCCATGTTATTCCTTCTTATTTCTCAAAAAGAAAACAGAGAACGCACTGCTTTAGAAATTTTGCAGGACAAGAATCTTTTAAACTTGGAAACTTAGAATTGAGGAAACTTCAAGCACTCAGCAGCTTCCAGGAGGCACAAAGGGGTCGTGCACAGACTGGGGACGACGTTTCTAATTCAGGTAATACATCAGATACAAAGACCTGGAAGTCCCTGATTTCCGGAGATGGGTGCTAATTTAGTAGCTATAATCCTGAAGAAGGGATCCGAGCCCCTGCAAGGACGTTCCTGTGGGCTGTGGTTGCACCATTCACTCTTTCCATCTCAGGTACCAAGAGCAGCTTTTAGGTCTTAAATGAAGCAACTGGTCTGGGCTAAGCATAAAAATGCACTTACTTTTATGATGCAAATTAGACATAAAAATGTACAAGAAAAAATGGTCCATGTGCCATGAAACTAATAGAAACAGTGGGCCGTGGCCAGGAGCACAGTGAGGGAGAGAACAGGTGGATTCGGGCAGCCTGACCGCTGGGAAAAGCGGGTGGAGAGGAGCAGCTGCATTAGTGTGAAAGTCGTCTCAGAGAAGAGGAAAGAGATAAAATACCAGGCTGAGGTAGAACCAAAACGGATCATAAGAGAGAGAAGTGGGAAGGAAAAGCGAGGTTTCTGAGCCAGCAGGTAGATGGGACGTGTGGGTAAAGCAGACGTGCCCCACGTGGGTTTTCTGATCCAACGGAGAACCAGCCATGAGAACGGTCCAGGTCGTCTGCGTGTTTGTAAAAATTTATGAGTTTAAGGAGATCTGAGAATCCACGCAGAATAGAATCTTTGGCTGCTTGTTTTTCTCCTAAATTGCTCCAGATTTGGAGAGTTCACCAAGGTCTTGAACAGAAACAGATTTAGGGTGGGAGGCATGGGAAGGATGGGGCGGGGCAGGCAGTGGGTGACAGAGCAGAGGTCCACCGTGTAGACGTGAGGGGAGATATGACTAAGAGCAGGTGACAAGAGGAAATAAGACCTAAGCAGTCCAATGGGGATTTCATCCTAAGGAAATGGGCACCCCCAACAGCTTTCTAATGCACAGCCACCCACCAGAGGGCTGGTTTGTCCCTCACCTGAGATCATCCATCACAGCAGTGTTTCCAAGCAACCCCAGGTTTCAAAAGTACATATACAAAAATCCTGTACTAAGACAGGCAAGCTGCAACTGCGTTAACAACAAATCTTTCCTATCTGCAAACACAAACCATTGGGCCACTGAGTCACTCGGGGAGCTAATGAGCACCCACGATACCGCCCATGGAGCAGACACAAAGGCCAATTTCGTTATTTACCCCAAAACACTGCATAAAGCAAATGACATTTGGAAGAGGCAGATTTAAGGAAAAGAGAGGGCTAATTAAGGAGAGGACAGAAGAGCTGAAACTGACGCTAGATGCTCTGTAAAATGCCTTATCTCTTTCTTTCCATGAGACAGTAAAGATACTCATAAGGCAGTGGTCATGAAGGAAAGCTAAACTAAGTACAGTGGCACTGAAACAGGTCCAATATAAGTCTACTCTCATCACCTGGACTATGTAGAAGTTTAACGTTAGGCTCTCAACCATAGACTTTAAAAGGGAATATTTGCATAAAGCTGGTGACAGACACCAAGGTTGTGTCTCAAAGACACAGAAGGGGCTCTGCTCTACTGCACAAAAACATTAAAATACTTCATTCTTCAGTTGTGTACATGGAATCTATGACAGTCAAGGGGAGAGAGGAGACAGTTGATTCCTGAAAGTGAATTCATATTTATTTCCAAAAAGGAGCAGCAGCAACTAAACACAGCAACACAATGCGGGGACTTTCCCTGTGGTGTGGAAGTTTTCTCCCACCTGCCCTCGCAGAGATCCGTTCGTCTGTCAGATGAATGCCATTGTCCTCTTCAAAATTGCCTTTCAGGTCTTCACTAAAACGTACTCATGTCTACAGAGCCCCGTATTGTAAAAATGAATTATTTTAAGAAGCTGCTTTATTAAAAAAAAAAAAAATTAAACNTACAGAGCCCCGTATTGTAAAAATGAATTATTTTAAGAAGCTGCTTTATTAAAAAAAAAAAAAATTAAACAAAAAGAGCATTCAACACATGCCAACGCAACATGCACGAGGCTCCCACAATGATGACAAAAGAGAAATCTTGTTTCTTTAAGATGAAAAGATTCTGTAAAGAAAAGGAGCTGGCAGAGTGTGGGTGTGAGCCAATTTACCACTGAGAAACCTGGCCACTCTTCCTTGGAAGGAGTCCAACAGACTGTCTGCTACCTTCACAGAGCATCACACTGGAGACTGTGAGCTCCATCCAAGCCACAGATACACTCAGAAAACCTAGGTAGGGGATTTTAAAAGATACCAGATCACCAACTTGCAAAATGGAAAATAACGGTTTAGAGAAATAAAGAATGTTACTCAAAATCATTGTCTCCTGTCAGAACCTAAAGTGTCATTTTTGAGAAGGTAGTGTAATTTAGTGATTAATAGATCATATATAGTATTATCAAAGTAAATTTTTAAAATGATCCCTTGAAGGAGAAACATTTCAAAGATAAATTTTTCCCATACAATTTGTTGTTAGCCAATGAATTCAATGCCTCCATCTGGTGGCCCATGATTCTTGGGAAAAGCGGACGACGGAAGAGATAGAAATCAGAAACCAACATTCAGGGCACTAAGCGCGGCCAGAGACGCTCTGACCAGGGCTGGAATACGGTCTCAGGCACCCAGAGCCCACGCTTTTCCCACTTTGAGCCACGTTGGAAGTATTACCTTAGAAACCAATTTTGCTTATAAGCAGAGCCTCACTTAAAATGGAGGAAATAGTGCTGGTAACTAGAATTATGCACTGTCTCTATACACCACGCCGAGGCGTGGTGTTGGGGGGAAGATTTCCATAACTCACCAATGAAGTGATTGGGCCCCAAGGCCAGCATCTCCTCCAGGAGGACAAGGCCCCCGGGGGCCTGGAGGAGCGTCACGCTCCGGCCGTCTATGAGGGAGCACTGCTGGAATCCCGTGGCCGTGACCTTCCACAGCAAGATCAGCGAGGCAGTGGCATCTTGCCGGATTCTGAAAACAGGAGCGGTATAAATGGAGTGACCCATCCAGGAAGATTCATCTTAGAACCAGTCCATCAAATTAAGCATAAACATAGAGACATGTACATCCACTGTGTCAGGGATGGATGAAAAGACCTTAATAAACAAGTACCCAATTTGTGCACACTCCCGGCTGTCATCTCCCACATCTGTTAGAAATGTTTCTCTCTTACTTGATCAAAAATAGAGCACAAAATCACAAATGTAAGTCACCTTTGGGTAACAATTTTAACCAAAAATAAAGAGGTACACTGAGTTCTTTTAGAGACAACTCCTTCCATCTCCACACAACATAAAGGATCGTGCTTGAATTTATTACAGAGGTGTAAGGCATCCCAAACAGCCACCTGAGGTGTGCTGTCAAAACAAGCGAAAGTGTGTCACCTACCGTGTTTCACGTCTCCCCAGCTTTTTCTTGTTTTCAGGATAAAATCCAGAGAATAAGATGCCATGGTGACTGATCAACCTCAGCCTCAGTTCCCTTCTCAGACTCAAATCTGGCACTTCCCTCCTTGCAACCCAATGGTCGGGCAACAGGACTCCTGTCTCTTCCCCAAAAAGGCTCCGGCCCAGCTCCGAGCCCTCACCTCCTCCACCGGGGAGACAGCCATCTTCAAGGCTTAGCCCCACACCTCCTCTCTCTAAGACCTTGCCTGACCATCTCCTGCCCCCTTTCCTTCCCTGGGTTTCTACCCGGGAGACAGCTGCCCCTCCTCCAGCACAGAGCTCCTGGCTTGCAGCAGGGTGCTCAGAAAAGGACTGATAAAAGACTAAATTCATAAGTAACTCCAAGTACAAGGGGTTAGTAACCATCACAAGAGAATTCAGGGCACCCAGAGGTCGGTCAGCCCTCAGCCTGGGTCAGACTCTGCTATTTCCTCCCAGCTCTGCAGCCTAACTAAGGGCACCCTGGAGAATTTCAGGTTTT